AAGTAAAGTGTTCTTGGCTGTAAGTTTTTTCCTTTCAGCACTTTCAATATATCATGCTCTCCCTTCCAGCTTGTAAGGTTTCTGCTGAGAAGTCAGTTGATAGCCTTATGGGGTTTCTTTTGTGTGTAACTTGTTTCCTTCTCTGGCAGCTTTTAGGACTCTCTCTTTTTCTTCAATTCTTGAGATTTTACTTATAATGTGTCTTGGTGTGGGCCTCTTTGGGTTCAGCTTGTTTGGTGTTCTCTGTGCTTCCTGTACCTAGATGTGTGTTTCCTTCCTTAGGTTAAGGAAGTTTTTAGCTATTATGTTTTCAAATAGGTCCTCTTCCCCTTTGTTGCTCTCCTCTTCTTCTGGGACACCTATAATATGGATGTTAGTACACTTGATGTTGTCCCAGAGATCTCTTAGACTATCCTCATTCTTTAAAATTCTTTTTTTCTTTTTTCTGTTCAACTTGGGTAATTTCTTCTACTCTTTCTTCCAGATAACTGACCATACTTCTGTGTTGTCTCCTCTGCTGTTGATTCTCTCTAGTAAGTTTTTCATTCCATTATTGTATTTTTCAGTTCAGATAGGTTGTTTTTTATATTTTCCAAATCTTTGTTGAAATTATCAGTGTTGTTCTCCCCAGATCATGGAGTATCCTTATAATTATTAGTTTGTACTCTTTATCAAGTAGATTGTTTATCTCCATTTCATTTAGTTCTTTTTTCTGAGGATTTGTCCTCTTCCCTTATTTGAACATATCCTCTTGTCTCCTCATTTTTCCTACTTCTCTGTGCTTGTATCTTTGTATTAGGTAGATCAGCTATGTCTCCCAATCTTGGAAATGTGACCTTATTTGAAAGATGCCTTATGGGGCCCAGCAATGTGCTTCCCACTTTTCACCCATTCCAAATGTTCCAGGAATGGCCTCTGTATGGTCTATGTATATCCTTCTGTTGTGGCAAGGTTGCTCTTGTTGTGGGCACATGGGTAAGCTAGGCTGGCCTCAAGGCTGCCTGGTTGTAAGGCTCAGCCACGTGTAGTTGCTATGGTCACTTTAGTCACTTTATTGGGCAAGGCAAGCCCCTGCATGCCTGGCTGCAAGGTCTGATAGCACAGAACTTCTGTTGTTTTGCTGTTAAGTAAATCAGGCCCCCAGCATGGCTGGTTGCTAGGCTCAGGGGCTCACAAACCCTGCAGGCCTTCTGTGTGTGGCTCCTTGCAGGATGAGGCTGTTGTCAGTCTCTCAGGAGTGCAGATGGGTGGGGCTGGCGCCCCAGGCATGGCAGCAAACAATCCTTTCAGGCATTGGAAGGCTGGGGCAGGTCCCCTGTGTGGCTATTTGAGATAGCCAGGGACACAAGTCTGCTGTGGCTTATATTCCCAACCACCTGGGGTGGACTTTCTTAAGTGATGAGAGCTATAAATGTGTCTCTTGTTACATTAATTGGATAACTTTTGAAATGCCCCTAGGTCATTTAAGGATGGGGGAAAACTCCCAGAGGAACCAATCATGTTATTAGAGGGTTCTAACTTTCAGTTCCATACCCTGACCTTGGGAGATGGGCAAGGGGTTGGAGGATGAATCAGTCACCAGTGGCCAATGATTTAATCAATCATGCTTGCATAATGAAGCCTCCATAAAAACTCAAAAGGACAGGGTTCACAGAGCTTCTGGGTTAGTGAACACATGGAGATTTGGGGAGAGTGGTGTGCTCAGAGAAAGCATGGAAGCTAAGGACCCTTTCCCCCTATGTGCCCTACATAACTCTTCCATCTGGATGTTCATCTATATCCTTTATAATATCCTTTATAGTATCCTTTTATAATAAACCAGTAATCCAGTAAGTAAAATGTTTCTAATTTCTGTGAGCCACTCTAGCAAATTAATCAAATCTGAGGAGGAAGTTGTGGGAGTCTCTGATTTATATAGCCAGTTGGTCAGAAGTACAGCCAACAACCTGGAATTTCTACTGGCATCTGAAATCCAAGGAGTGGGTCATTGGAACCTCCCATCTGTAACTAGTCAGTCAGAAGCACAGGTAATAATGTGAGCTTGCAACTCACATCTGAGGGGGTGAGAGGGCCCAGTCTTGTAGGCCTCAGCCATTAACCTTTGGAACCTGATGCTATCTCTGAGTAGATAGTGTCAGAATTGAATTGAATTGAGTTGAGTTATAGGACGCCCAGCTGGTGTCCTGAGAATTGCCTACTGGTGTGTGAAACCCCCCTCCACACACATTGGAAGTTAGTACTAGAAGCCCTTCAGCAATGATGTCCCCTCTCACCACTCCTTTTCAACATAATACTGAAAGTCCTTGCTAATGCAATAAAGCGAGAAAAGGAAATAAAAAAGTTATACAGATTGGGAAGGAAGACACAAAACCATCTTTGTTCACAGATGACATGGTCTATATGTAGTAAATCCAAAAGAATCAATAAAAATACTACTGGAACTAATAAGCAATTATAGCAAGGTTGCAGGATACCATGTTAATATACAAAAGTTAATTGCTTTCCTATATATCAATAATGAACATGTGGAATGTGAAATTAAAAACACTTTACCATTTACATTAGCACCTCCAAAAGTGAAATTCTTAGGAATAAATTTAATAATATATATATATAAGATTTATATGAGGAAAACTAAAAAAACTGTGATGAATACAATAAAAGAACTAAATAAATGGAGAGATATTCCATGTTCATGGATAGGAGGTCTCAACATTGTCAAGATGTCAGTTCTTCCCAACTTGATCTATAGATTCAATGCAATCCCAATCAAAATTCCAGCAAGTTGTTTTATGGATATCGACAAGCTGATTCTAAAGTTTATATGGAGAGGCAAAAGACCCAAAATTGCCAAGACAGTATTGAAAGAGAACAAAGTTTTTCAAAGGAGTGACAATGCCTGACTTGAAGAGTTATTATAAAACTACAGTCATCAAGATAGTGTGGCATTGGCAAAAGAATAGACAAATAGATTAATGAAAGAGAATAGAGAGCCCAGAAATAGACCCACTTAAATATAATCAACTGATCTTTGACGAAGGTTCAAAGGCAATATAATGGAAAACAGATAGACGCCTCAACAAGTAGTGCTGAAACAACTGGACAGCCACATGCAAAAAAAAAATCTAGGCACAAACTTTACATCTGTTACAAAATTTGACTCAAAATGGATCATAGACCTAAATGTAAAATGCAAAAGTATTAAACTACTGGAAGATAATGTAGGAGAAAACCTACTTGACCTTGGGTATGGGGGTGCCTTTTTACATATAACTCCAAAGACACAATCCATGAAAGAAATTATTAATAAGCTGGACTTCATTAAAATTAAAAACTGTTCTGTGAAAGACAATATCAAGAGAATTAGAAGACAACCTAGACTGGGAGAAAATATTTGGAAAAGGCTCATCTGATAAAGAACCGTTATCTAAAGTATACAAAGAACGCTTAAAATTCAACAATAAGAAAACAAACAACCCAATCAAAAAATGGGCCAAAGACTTTAATGGTCACCTTGTTAAAGAATATACAGGTGGCAAATAAACATATGAAAAGATGCTCCACATCATATTTCATCAGGGAAATGACATATATCCATCAATTAAAACAACAATAAGATACTACTAAACAGCTATTAGAATGGCCAGAATCTGGAACACTGACAACACCAGATGCTGATGAGGATGTGGAGGAACAGGAGCTTTCATTCATTGCTGGTGGGAATGCAAAATGATAGACATTTTGGAAGACACTTTGGTTGTTTCTTACAAAAGGAAACATGCTCTTACCATACAGTCTAGCAATCACACTTCTTTGTATTTGCTCAAATGATTTGAAAACTTATGTCCACACAAAAAACCTGCATATGGATGTTTATAGCAGCTTTATTCATAATTGCCAAAACTTGGAAGCAGCTAATGTGCCCTTCACTAGGTAAATGAATAAACTATAGTACATCCAGAGACTGGAATATTATTCAACACTAAAAAGAAGTGAGCTATTAAACCACGAAAAGACATGGAGGAACCATAAATGCATATTACTAAGAGAAAGAAGCCAACCTGAGAAGGCTACATACCGTATGCTTCCAACTACATGACATTCTGGAAAAGGCATAACTATGGAGACAGTAAAACAATCCGTGGTTGTCAGGGAGAGGGTAGAGAGGAATAGGCAGAGCATAGAGGATTTTTAGGGCAGTGAAAATACTCTGTATGACATTGTAATGATGGATATATGTCATTATGCGTTTGTCCAAACCCATAGAATTTATAACACCAAAAGTGAACCCTTGGGTAAACTATGGACCTTAGGTGACTTTGATGTGTCAATGTAGGTTCATCCTTGGTAAAAAATTTACTCTTCTGGTAAGTGATGTTGATAACAAGGAAGGCTATGCATGTATGAAGGTAAGGGTTATATGGGAAATCTCTGTAACTTCCTCTCAATTTTATTGTAAACCTAAAACTGCTCTAAAAAAATAAAGTCTTTGGAAGAAAAAAGCCAGGATTTGAACCAATGTAGTTAGGGAGTTGAGCTCCAGAGTCCCTACTCCTAATTACTATACACCCACTCAGGATGTAAATCCCTTATCATGCCTCAAACTGCAAACCTAGGAATGGCAAGAATAATATTTTAGACATTATTTCCAATAAAGAAAAGAGGGGCCGGACCCGTGGCCAAGTGGTTAAGTTCGTGTGCTCAGCTTCCGTGGCCCAGGGTTTCACTGGTTTGGATCCTGAGCACAGACATAGCACCGCTCATCAAGCCATGCTGAGACAGCGTCCCACATAGCAGAACCAGAAGGACCTACACCTAGAATATACAACTATGTACTGGGGGGCTTTGGGAAGAAGGGAAAAAAAAGGTTGGCAGTGAATGTTAGCTCAGAGCCAATCTTTAAAAAGAAAAGAAGAATAAAGCAGTGCATGGTCTTTGTTTATTAGCATCAGTCTTTGTTGCGTAGCTGTGGTTTGACAATATTTATTTCTTTTAAACAGACAGTCGTACAGGCTATGATGAACATCATAGAGATGGAAAAAAATGAACAAAACCAACCCAATTATGGACTCTTACTACTTTGGGCTGCTCTGTCCAATGCTGTCCCTGTAAGTATAGTAGTAAAATAAGAGTTACATTTCTGTTCTACTGTACTTTGAATTTTTCTCTTCATTTTTCTTCCTTTCTTTCAGTCTTCTAACTTCTTATTATGGAGAAGAGAAGACTGCAGTGGATTTGGTTGTGAAATAGAAAAACATAATTGAATGCCTAATGAAATCTGATAAGATGACAAAGGAGGCCAAGCAGAGATCAGAAGGGAATTCTGCCCTCTGAAAGGCCCCGTGTCACGTAAGGGGAAAGCTTGCACTGTGGGGCCAGGTGGCAACACCTGCTCGTGGAGCACTTTGTGTGTCAGGCAACATGCTTTGTGTTGGTGCTGCAAAGATGAATAAGACTTGACCTCGACCTTTTAGTAGGGAGAGAGGAGGCAAACGGATAGTTTCAGAGAGATCGGGCTTGAATCCAGATTATCTCCAGCCGTAGCGATAGAATCTCATGGAAGTAACTCCAGCTCTCTGAACCTCCATTTCCTTACTGATGAAAAGGGAATAATAAAACTCCTAGTAGGACTTGAGTGCTTAATAAATGGTAACTCCCATTTCTCCACAAGGTTGTTGTAAGGATTCAGCGAGATAAACCCAAGTGACACCAATGAATATTAAAGTTCTCTGTCTTCCCCGTGCATTCCCATTCTCCTTCTGTGCATCATTCCCATTTGCATTACTTGGCATCTTGGTCCTGTAAGCTTTTCAGGAGTGGAGCTGGTGATATTGGAATTCACAATACTTGTAAAGAGAGCAGAGACTTTTTAACTGTTTCTTTTTAAAGCTGTTGTGAACTAGATTAAAGCCATGAGATTTGTCTGCCATTTCGTATTCTGTGCACACCGAGGTCCCGTGTCAGAAGGATTTCACGTTAGCTTAAGCCTCACTTAGATTAGTTGAGAACTTAAAGGGTGAATCTTTTTTATTTATTGGTTTCTACTAAGCAGGAAAATTCAACCCATTTCTAATAATAAATGTGATCATTTTTCTTTCTTCTTCCAAAAAATAGAAATAAGGATTTGAGTATTATTTACTTCTCCTTCCCCTTATAAAGGTTGTGAAAGGCTTTCTAAGTCCAGATATTCTAGTTTCCTTTAACCTGTTGTAAAACTTATTGGATAAAGAGCAGAAATAGAAATTCTTGCCTCTGTTGAAATGTGTGTCGGCCTCTAGAATATGTGTTTCATCTGGCATAAGCAAGTAAAAATAGTCTAATCCTTTCCCCTTCTTTACGTACCTCTAATATTATTATCTGATTTTTTCCTTATACAGTTTTCTTCGAAGCTGATTAAGCTATAGCAGAATTAAAAACCAAACATCACAATAACTCTCCAAGCAGCAACAAAACAGCCACTCCTGTCACAGGATTAATTCTCAAGATCTCATTAGAAAGGTCCCCTGGAAGAAAAAGACACAAAGCCCCATTGATCTGATACAGGGGAAGTCAGTTCTGTGGAATTTGTTCCTGGCACTGGTCTGAAAGGATTTAAGTCATTAATTTCAGAAAGGAAGTGTCTGATGATTAGCAAAAGTTCCATCTTGCTGACTCTTGTTGGCACTTCCAAGAGGCAGCTGGTGTGTGGGCAGAGACCCTGGAAAGGCTTTAGAGTCAGGTCCAAAGCCAGATGCCAGGGCTGGGTGACAATGGGCCAATTGTTTAACCTCTCTGAGCCTCAGTGTCCTCATCTATAAAATAGGGGTAATGTCATCTATCTGATAAGATAGTTGTGAGCCTTATATTTTTAAGAAATGGGAAGTGGCTAATAGTCCCAGCACGAAGTAGGTACTCCATAAACGTTAGCTTTCTTCCGTTATAGAAAGTAATGCCGTGGTTTCAATCAATCATTATTGTCAATGGCCTATTAATAATGGACTGCCATGGCTTCCACAACTTGACCATTCAAATGTCCCGGGATGGGAGTGGCTGTCCTGGCTTCTGTGACCTCCCATCGCTGCCTAGAAGGCTGCTGAAAACCTGCCAGAGGTGTGGGTGGTGGGGCCTGTCCTGTCTTGGTGCCTGGATCATGTTCTTGTCTTCCCTCCTACTCTGGGCTCCGCCTCAAGTCTCACGGAGCTCAGAGCTCAGGCTTCAGATGCGCTTGGCGCAGGTCACTAGGAAGCCTAGTGGTCTAGGTGAATTTTGATGGACTTGCCCAAGACATTAACCATAACTCATGAAATTATTTCTGTGGGAAAATCATTTCCAGTTCCAAGAGATTCCTGACTGCCAAATGAACTTTTTAAGAACATTTTTCCAAAACTAATTTCAAAGCTGACATTTTACCTTTTTAATTGCTTCTCTGAAGCTTTTTCTAAATACTTTCAGTAGTGACCACTACCCCACCCCACCTCATCCCACCCTCCCCTTAAGTCCCACAGCATTTATTGTCTGTACCCCCCATTGCCTGTACATGTAGCTCTGTTTTTCTCCTGTGTGTGTCTCACATCCCCAACTAGATGTGAAAGTTCTTTGGGCGAGAATTGAGTCTTATACGTGTTTGTGTTTACCATGATCGGTAGAAGAGAATCTGACGTCTTATAGAGACTCCATCCATATTTGTTAAACCATTTTTGGAATGGATAAAAAAATGGTGCTGAAGAACATCCTCAATTCATCTTCTCTCTGGCGCAGCGTGGCAGAGCTTTCCTCCTCGTCCCTTCTCACGTTGGTTCTTCTCTCTCCAAAACAATGGAAAGGGACTGTCGTGGCTGCTTTAGAAGTTCAGAGAAGCGGGAGGCCCTTCTCCTTTTTGCACAGCCCTCAGCATAGACTTGACCCCTTTATCAAAATACTAACGGGTACTTTGGGAGCAGTTCGTAACTCCTCTCCCAAATGTGGCTGCACAAAGACCCCAGGTCACTCACTCTTGTTTGTTGATTCAGTAATATATATGAACTTCTTATCTACTCTTTACTGTCTTTTACATGCCTTTCATTTTTAAAAAAGTCGTTTGGTTTTTAAAGTAGAAGACAAAGAGTTTTGGAAGAGAAATCTCTTAAGAAAATAAGCATTCAAAATGGTAACTAAGACCATGGTACAGCCACTTGTAGTTTATTTGAATTCCTTGTGTTTGTCATAAAAGTACTACTGAATTTTAGTGAATCTCTATAACTCTGATTTAGCACTGGTTAATAAAACCCCAAACCTCTCTTTTGTGTAACTGAAAATCTGTGTACTCTCTCCAAACTATTTTTATCCCCCAACGTGAACCCTGACTCTTTAAATAAGATGAACTGAGTATGGAGTGGTCTTTAATTAAATGCAGTAATTCAGCACTTCCGTCTATAGCTAACAGTAGAAAGGGCCGGGGCAGGTGGACAGAAGGGGCTATCTGAGCACGTTTCCTCTCTGTAGGAATGAGCTAGGTGATCTCCAGGGTGAGTCTGTCATAATCTGGATAATGCCACCGAAAGAGGCCGTCCAGCTTGGAGGGCCCTGGGTCTCCCGTTCTCTTTGTTTATGTAAACAGTGCCATATTGATCCTTGCATTGTCAGTTTTAATGTCACAAAGGGAAAAACAACGAGCAGTATAGAATTTGAGTTATCTGAGTGCTTGCCTTCAGACGGTTGCTCTTCTTCTTGTGACCACAGAGGGGAGTATCGGGTTTATTTAAAGGTACTTAAAGTCACCTCACAACAGGGACAAAAAGACTTGTGTTTTTGTGTTATTAATAATTTATTATAATTAATTTAATAATATAAATTTAATAGGTTATATGTATTACATACATTGTAAATATATTGACCATATGTCTATAGTCCTTGTCATTTCAGGACTGATTTTCCCAGGTGAAATCTCTTTCATAGTACATGTTTACAGAAAAAAATGAAAGAGAAACCCAAGCTTCTTTTAATGATTTTATACAGGTTTCCTTTATAGTGTAACCTAAAAATATGCACAGGAACATCTACCTGAATTAGTGGAAAGTTAATTTTTGTGATGTATAGCAGTGTAATTTGAATCTTATAATACCACAGTGAGGAAAGAGATGAAAAAAATTTGTTTGGTCTAGAGAGAGAGCTTGCAAGTATGCCATGTGCAGTAACATTCAGGTATGGAAGGACCCTATTTTTGATGTTGAGTATTCTTATAATTCAGTTTGTGAGTTTCAATTATAGTTTCTTGGCTTATTTAAAATCACCATGTTTCATTTGCAGAATATATGATTTGCTAATTCATTTGTATTTCAAGGAAATTAAATCTTGAAAAATAGTTTTGTTTTGGATTGACATTCCTCAGTGTCATAATTTGTTGTTTCTGAATATTTAGTGTATGCCTATATATTTTATATTGTGTATTAATAAAAAATTTCACTTTATTTTTTAGTAAAGATAGTTTAATTTATATGAACAACATATTAAACTACAATGAGAAAATAAAATTATAGATTTGAACTCTCAGAGATATGTAACATCTTTTTTGTTTATAAAATCTAGTTTCAAAGATGCTCTTTACTAACATACCTTTTTCTTTTTTCTTTTTTTTTTGCTGAGGAAGATTTGCCCTGAGCTCACTATCTGTTGCCAGTCTTCCTCTATTTGCTTGAGGAACTTTTGTCCTAAGCTAACATCTGTGCCAGTCTTCCTCTATTTCATATGTGGGTCACTGCCACAGCATGGCTGCCGACAAGTGGTGTAGGTCCATGCCTGGAACCGAACCCAGGCTGCCAAAGCAGAGCACGTGAACTTAACCACTAGGCTATGGGGCTGGCCCCTTTACTAACATACTTTTAAGTTTAATTTAAACATTTTCCTTGTTTGTTTTAAACGTTATGGCTAATACTAAGTATGCTTTTGTTGACTTTCAAAAACAGTTGTGTTGTTTGATACATATTTTTCTTTTTAAGGTTACGTTTTGGACAATTGCATTTGTCCTCTCTCATCCCAATATCTACAGGACCATTATGGAAGACATATCTTCTGTGTTTGGTGCAGCAGGTATTAAATCTGAATTAAATTACATAGTTAAAGAGAAATTTGAATAATATATGCTTGTCACGTGTTGTGGGAAAAGCTAAATGCCCCTAATTTTAGAGAAATTCAACATAATCCAAAATTGAACACAATTTGTTGTGTGTTTCAGGATGTGGAATCGTAGAATTTACTTATTGTCAAGGATTTTCGAGGTCACCTAGGCTAACCCCCTTACTTTCCAAGTCATGAAATAAATGCTAGAGAGATTGTGATTTGCCTGACTTCCCTACTTTAACATAAATATATACATATACGCAGGTATTTTCTTCAAACCTCTTGACCCCTTATTTCAACTGAGCTACAAGTCCATAGTTTTGGAATTTAGGATTTCCCAGATCTTATGAAAAGTAGTATGGTGCATATTCCATATATTACATAACATGACTATTGGGGTGTGGATGTCAGGTAAGGTTTCACTGCCAAGGGCATTATTTTAAAAGTTACCATTGTTAGAGATTTGGAGCTTGGACCTGCAGACAGGGATTACTGCCTTGCACTTCTTAGTTTCGATTTGGACTCTGCAATTGTCATCTGTTTTAAAAAGCAGAAATAAACTTGAATGGAGAGAGCTCAACCACTTGTTTATTTAGCATAATTTAACCTATTTGGGAGTAGGTTATTTTTTAAAACCTTAATATGTTAAATTATGTATTTTGATATAAAAAGAAGAATAAATGACTTGGTTTTCTTGGAAGAAAATAATATAATAGTAGGACAAAAGATATGATGCCAATTAACGGGTAGCCCCCCCTTCATGATTGCTGAAAATATTTTATTTGGAATTTTTTCTTAATTTTTTACTGCTGCTTTTTGAGTTAAACAAACAAGCAAATTGGCTTAACCAACATGACTATTGAAGCCATACTGTCCCTGAACCTGAGTGTTCATCAGCAGTGCTGGTCTCATCTCATAGAAATGGTGAGCATTAGAATCATTGAGTACCGACAGTGCTAACAAGTTAGATTCTGGAGGTGCACTGGTGAGTATTAGAGAAGACTGTTTCCTTGGCGGAGCTTACGTCTATGAAGCTCATGGAAATCTGCGTGCCTGCATGTCTGCAAATGATACAAGGGAAGGCACCCTGGATTGTCATATACCCTCCTTACCATTTCCTTACTGAAGTCATCTCCTGACTTAGGGTTCTCCAAACTCCTGGTCTTTAGCAATAAAAGAGTAGGTATGGGGGTGGTGAGGATAACGTGGGAAGCCTGTTTGACCCAAAGGCCACAACAAAAGTGTTATATTAATCTAAATTTCTGCGGTGCTTGAATCTTGAACTCTTGAAACAGTTCTAACGGAGAAAGACAAAGGCTTTTCTCTTTTTCTATATTCTGGTTTATTTTTACAACCTATTGTTCTCCTCTGACAGAAAAGTGCTCCTTGAAATAGTAGTACCAGTGTAATAGCTATACTATGTCAGTACTTTCAGTCTGTAAGACTCTTGTAGGATTGAAAACAATTTATTAATGATAGCAAACATTTTTGCCATGTTTATACAGAAGCAATTCAGATCAATTCATGCATAAGATGTTGTAGCAGCTCTGGAATTTAGATGTTGTGAGAGGAAACCACAGATCTTTGGAGGCTGATATCAAGGAAAATATCCATGTGTCCGTACAAAGGATCCTGACAGAGAAAGGACGTTAAAGTGCATGGATCAAGAATCTGACTCAATGGCTATTCTCCCATTCTTACTCTCTTCTCTATCGCAAGATCACCATTTCCTTCTTGGAGATGTCCTTAGTGGATTTCCAACTCTGAATCCCTGGCCTCAACACTCACCCCTAGAGCTCATCCCAGACACTTTGCCCAACTTTCTTATAACAAGTCTCAAGATAAAAGCTGCTCCTGAATACTTGGTCCTTTGTCTGGCTTCTTTCGCTTAGCATAGTATTTTATTTTATATCATGATGTTTCACACTAATTGATTTTAAGATTACATTCCTGAGATAAATCCTACTCAGTCCTGGGTGTATAATCCATATAAAATGTATAATTTTTTATGTTGCTGGATTCAGTTTGCTAGTGTTTTGTTGAGGAATTTTGCATCTATATTAATAAGGGATATTGGTCAATAGTTTTCTTGTGATGGAGAAGACTGTCTGGTTTGGGTATGAGGATAATTCTGGCTTTATACAATGATTTCGGAGGTGTTTCCTCCTCTTCTGTTTTTTGGAAGAGTTTGTGAGGGATCGGTGTTAATTCTTCTTAACCATATGGTGGATTTACCAGTGAAGTGATCTGGTCCAGAGATTTTCTTTGTGAGAGGTTTTTTGATTCATTCATTCTCTCTGCTTGTTATAGTTGTACTCAGATTACATGTTTCTTCTGAAGTCAGTTTTGTGGTTTGTATCTTTTAGGAATTTGCCCATTTTATCTAGGTTATTTAAATTGTTGGTGTACAATTGTTCATAATATTCTCCAGAATCTTTTTTATTTCTGTAAGGTCACTAGGAAAGCATCTCCCTCATTCTTGATTTTGGTAATTTGTGTCCTTTTTCTTTTTTTCTCGGCCAGTGTAGCTAAAGGGTTGTCAATATTGTTTCCAAAAAATACTTTTGGTTTTATTGATTTTATTTTTCCTATTGATTTTCTATACTCTATTTCATTTATTTCTGTTTTAATCTTTATTCATAATTTCTATCTTTTCTGTCTTTATTGATATTCTCTATTTAGTTCTTAGACATGACTTTTTTAGTTCTTTGACTATATTTCAAATATCTTTTCAAGTCTTATTTTTAATAAGTCCAACGTCTAGGTTTCTTCAAGGATAGTTTCAATTGATTGATTTTCCCTGTGTATGATCTATATTTTCCTGTTGCATGTCTTATTTCATATTTCTTGTTGCATGTCATAATTTTTTTGTTGAATACCAGGTATTTTAAATAACATAATGTGGAAACTCTAGAAATCAGATTCTCCTCTCTCCTCAAGAGTTATTGTTTTTGCTGCTTGTTGTTCTTATTTGTTTTCTTAGTGACTTTTCTTGACTAATTGTATAAAGTTTGTGTTCTTTATCATATGTGGCCACTTAGGTCTCTGCTTGGTTAGTGGTCAGCTAATGCTTGGACAGAGGTTTCTTTACACTAGGAAGCAGTAAGACTGCTCTTCCTTGCCAAGGGTCTCTGTCTGCATGTTGGGGCATGCCTTCAACACTCGGCCAGGCAGTTGACAACGCTGCCTTAGCTTTCGCTTCCTGCTTGCACAGAGCCTCAAAGTCAGCCTTAAGTGAGACCTTAGGGCCTTCCCAGGTCTTTCCTGCACATGAGTAAAGCCCTGGGCATGTGCTCAGCCCTACACAAGTGCCTCACCTTCTGTGTTCCCAGGAATATGTTGGACCTCGTCAAAGCCCCTAGGACATCTCATTCCCTAACTTTTCGTTTTAATCATTTTGGTTTGCCTGTTGTTTGTCCCAACTGTTATCCATTGCCTCAGGTAGCTGCCAAGTTGAACAATTATGTAAAGGTTTCCAACCAATACCCCTGGGGAAAAGACTTTTTCCAATGGGTGAGCTCCAAGTCAGGTCAGATAAAGAGTCTTGCAAGTGGGATCTTCCAGGGAACTGCCAGTCAGGTCAAATAATGAGAGTTCTGTAGAAATGAGATTTTGAAGTAGTTCCAACCCTGTTTGGCCCCCTCTGGTGGCTACTGGGCTGCTGGTGTGCACTGGGATTGCAGGCTGTTATCTTCAAGACTACGTGGACCTGTGGAGAGGGGTGTGGAAATAGGGCAAGTTAAGATGTCATTAAGCTCGCTGTTCTTACCAGGATTCAGCCATTTTTCTTGGATGAACACTCCGTGGATTGCTGCAAACCTTTGGTTAATTTCCAGAGTTCTGAAAAAATTGGTTCTGGTATTTACCAGGTTCTCATTGATTCAAGGAGGGAGTTTTTGGAGTCCTTATTCTACCACTTTTGCTGACATCATCCTGAACTATAATTTAAAAAATTTCTTTTAGGAAACCTTCTAGATTCATACAGGTTAACCCTTTATTCATCTGTTCATTGACTTGGCCCTCAAACATGTTTTGAGTGCCCACCGTGTCAAGGCACTTGGTGAAGTGTAGGGCTATGAAGATGAAGAAGGTGTGGTTCATGCTCTCAGCTCACGGACAAAGTACTTTTTGTAAAAGTGAAAGCAGGCTTGGAAGTATCCAGAAGATGTTAGGAGAGAAAAGTGAATATTTACAGTTTCTTTGGAGAGGTGTACATGCTGGTGAATTGTATAGATTTTCTGTGCCTAGAACCCTTTCCCCTGTTCTTGTTCATCTTTCGGTCTGCCTGAGTGTCATTCCTCAGATAGGTCTTTTAGGCTTACACTATCTAGAGTCACTTTCTTTACCTCTGCCCTTAGTGATTTTCTGACTCATCTCACTCCTTATTTCCTTCATAAGAATTATTTTCTATTTATTTGTATAATTATTTATTTATCCTCTGCCTCCTTCACCAGAATGTCATCTCTTCAACAGCAGGTACAGTTACTTTCTTGGTCTTTGTGGTATTCCCAGTTGCCTAGAACCGAAACATTACTCAACCGATATTTTCTGAATGAATTTAATGAACAAATATAAGGATATATTTTTAAGAGATGAGAGTCTTGGTGTAGGCTTCGTTTGTGGCTCTATCGCCCATCTCACTAGACAGTTCGTATTGAATGGGTGTTTTGTGTAGGGAAGTTTTTGACAATTTTCTACACTTAATGTTTTTTTTTTGCGCTGAGGAAGATTCACCCTGAGCTAACATCTGACCTTCCTCTTTTTTTGCTTGAAGAAGATTGGCCCTGAGCTAACATCTGTGCCAGTCTTCCTCTATTTTGTATGTGGGTTGCCACCACAGCATGGCTGACAAATGGTGTAGGTCTGTGCACAGGATCCAAACCTGCAAACCCAGGCTGCCAAAGTGGAGTGTGCCGAACTTAACCACTATGCCACAGGGCTGGGCTCCTATACTTAGTTTTTGAGTTAGT